TTTACTTAAGGAATATACCTTAAATCATATTAAGGATCCTACTATAGTTTAAATTATATTCCTTAACTAAGGGATATTGGAGTCTCTGGGCAGACAGTCAAGGTTGGAGCTGGTCCCGGGATGGCGCTACATCTTCGAAGTCCGCGCCGTTCTTCTCGACGGTGCCTCGCCTTAAGAGGGTAGTTGTCAAAATTAGGGTCCCTTTTTGGGTACCCTAAATATTAGGTGCCGTACTATATTAAGGACCCAAAAAGGGACCCTAATATTGACAACCACCCAAGTAGTATTAGGGTTTAGGGTTTAATATAGGGGACTGAATAACTACCTATACTGTTTTGGGGGGTTCCTTATTATAACTAATGCGCTCCAAAACCCTATACTAATTATTAAGGCCCCTATATCAGGGTTTTGGGGTTTAGGGTTTAAGCAGCAGAGCCCCGAGCCGTGAGGAGCAGGGCTCAACCATGGTTCGATGCAGGGTGGAAATACTCTGAAGTTTCTTGAGACAGCCGAAGAGCCCCCAAAACAGACGAGGCTATAGTCTATAGGGGCCTTAATAATTGCCAATGCTCTTTTTTTTGTTGGGGGGGGGGGATCCTTATTATATTTGTAGTATAATGGGCCCCAGAACCCTATTCTGACATCCAACAGCTCACTCGCCACGAACGCCTGCACACGACAGCACGACACCAGACTGACCTGAGTTCGAATGCATAGTTGGAGGCAGTGGGCAAGCCAGTAGATGCTTCCTGAGTAAGATCGCCGATAGTTGAATTCAATTTGCTAGCCGAGGCTGGTCATTCTGGCAGTCGGCTTAAGGCTTAAGACGGGTGTCAAAGCCAGTTCTGCTCCGGTGTTTCTTTCTCCATCATGTCTTTCGTGGCGATGTCAAAAAATCATATCAGGAGAAGCCGACATGATATGAGCCGTCTAGGGGTTAAGGATATGACTTTGTCCATCATCCGTGGGCCTTGGAACGGTGGCCATCATCATTCCTCAAAGCAGGACCCCAGGAAGAGACACGGGAAGTGGGTCCTCACATCAAGATTGTGTTGTTTGGCCCGATGCCTTCTCTTCTACGTACAATTGCAGGGCCCCTGTAGTACAGCCGAGCTCTTTGGTTTCGGCTTCAGCGTTTAGGGGCTAGGGTTTAGAGTGAACTAGTGTGTGTTGAGGTTAAAACGGCGGAGGAGAGAGACAGGAAGGGGCCATGTTCGGCATGCCTCACACCTGACTCCAGAAAAATCTCATTTCTCTTGCTTGCACACTACACCCTGCTGCCGTGACTTCTTACTAAACTCCGTGAGTGGTAATCAGGTGTAGGTTGAAACCTGACATCTTAAGCCCTATATGTATGGACTACGTAGTCCCATATTGCCTCGAGACTTCGCCCGATATTGCCGAGTGCGTGATCCCCAAGATAAATCATACTGAATCAGGCACATCTGCTGTGCTTTGGACATCCCCAGCATCAGCATCAGCCGCCGCGGATCTACGCCACGCGCCATCGCGGGGGAAGGCGATTGTGTTAAGCCCCACGCCTCCAACCTTTAAGCCCCTACCTACACCTTTCTTTCCGATCGGTTCGGGGGCAGTAGGGTAGTTGCCCAACTTCAACGGCGCAGTACCTTGGGTCTTGCTAAACTACAGACCACAGACATCTTCGGGCAGCTTCATCTAAAGACCGCAACCCCTCCCCCAATTCCTTGAAAAACAGCGCAATCATGGAGGCGTCCTTGCGTTCATACGTGCATATGCAAATATAATGCATCCGTACATGCATACATACACAAATGGACACAGTGCATACATGTATACTCGCGCACGTTCGCAGATGTGCACATACGTGCATGTGTGCATGCACTCGTATATACACACGCACACATACATACATACGTGCATGGATGCAAGTGTGCATGCATACACAGGTGTATGCGTAACTATGCTTGTATATACATACACACACAGACACACACACACACATATATATATATATACGTACGTGCATACGTACCTAATTATTACGTTTGTTTTTGGTCTCCCCCTTTTCCTACCTACATACAGACATACATTGAGACATAGATGTGTGCATAAGTGTAAGCACATGTACTTATTCATGTACTTGTTTCTTTTTCATTCAAGCTAACCTGTGCGAGGCATGTCGGTGTAACTCGGATCTAACGTACGCAGACGTTCTGTCCCTGACAGGCGGCGCCTGCATCGCCACGTCCTAGCTTCCAGGAGATTCAGCGCTTCGGGCGGAAGGGCCCGAAGTCCTCAGCCGTATTATAGAGGCTTTACCCTAAGGCCCCAAAGCACTTTCTTCTTGGGGTTCGTATTTAGAATCCTAGAAGGTAATCCCAAAAAGGAACTACTTTGGGGCCTATGGGTAATAAATGTCTATACTGTTTGAGGGGTTCCTTTAAAGGAGCCTGTACGGGCCACTTATAAGGATTTTAGTACAGGGGCCTGGATACTTGCCAATACTATTTTGGGGGTTCCTTATCATAATTATAGTACAATGGGCCGAAAACCCGCATGAGTTGGAGCATCGAGAGTTTGACAACTTCCCGCATGGTAAAGGATCGGAGTTCTTCAAAGAACACAGCCCCCCCCCCCAACCAAAAAAAACAAGATCAATATTCAAGAGTCCTCGGCATCTGGGTTCTTGGTTCCACGGGCCTGGTCGCATTTTAATGCTGGTTTTAATGCAGCCAGGCCAGGCCTCTAGTGAATTTTGCCGGGCATGATCCTGCATACACAGTCCCTATCGGATTATGTCGTAATGTTCGTATACCCTAACCCATGTTTCATGTGTGTGCATGCGTACTGTGTACTGATGTGTGGTAGCATAAATGTACACAAACAGGTTTGGAGGTAGCTTTTGTTTTTTGGGTACCATATATATATATACTAGGTGTTGCTTTCGGACATTTTTTATTTTTGCCTTTTTTTGCCCGGCCTTGGATCAAGTCACTACAGAAGAAGTCATTAGTACTGAGAGATTAGTCGTGGTAGTAGTAGTAGTAGTTGTTGTTGTTGTTGTTGTTGTTATGACTACTATTATTCAGATTTCAGACCTTGGGGCTCAAGGTCTTAAGATTTGGGGTTCAGGGGGCTTTTGGTTGAGGGTTCACGGTTTAGGGTTCAGGGTTTAAGGGTTTTTCAGTTTAGGGTCTAAGTACACTAACTAGCACTGTATTCTGATACTCTTATGTAATTATAATCGTAGTAGTAGTTGTTGTTATTGTTATTCAGATTTCAGACCCTGTCTATTGGGGCTGAAGGTCTTAGGGTTTGGGGTTTAGGGGGCTTTTGGTTGAGGGTTCAGGGTTCAGGGTTCAAGGTTCAGTGTTTAAGGATCTGGCTAGCCCCAAGCCCAGTAGTAAAAAAAGGGTTTAAGGGGTCTTTCAATTAGGGTTTAGGTTTTACGGTTTCAGGGGTTTAAAATAGGGTTCCGGGCTATGCAGTACATACTCAGGCGTCAAAGTACCTGTATTATTGAAGGCTCAAGTATTGGGATTTAGTTCTAATAGCAAGGTTTGAATTTAGGGCTTGTAGAACTTGAAGCCCGAAATCCCTAAACCCCCCATTCAAACCCGATGCAACGAACCCCTAAAGAAGCCCTGTACTAGTTAGTGTACTTAGACCCTAAATTGAAAAACCCCTTTAAACCCTGAATTGTAAACCGTGAACCCTCAACCAAAAGCCCCCTAAACCCCAAGCCCTAAGACCTTGAGCCCCAATAGAGAATGGTCCGCCGCTGGGCTCCATCGCTGGGCGCCGTCGACAACATCGAGGTGCCCGGGGAGAGTGGGGGCTTTTAAGTATTCAAAGGGGTTAGGCTGTAGTAAGGGTTTATATAAGGTTTGGATTATGGAACTTAGACTATGTGGTTTAGAGTTTAAAGCTTCACTTAGGGAGTTTCGGGTCAAGGGTTGTGTGCATTGGGTGTTGTCGGGTGTCAGACTCGGGTTTGGGGTAGGGGGTTATTTGCGGGAGGGATTTGGGTTTGAGGGGCATGTGCGGCCTCCGTAACATTTCAGCGTCAGCCCTTAGGACTTTGGACATGTCATGTTTCCATTTTAATCATTAGGCTTACCTTCGACTTTAGATGTTTTATTTCAGATTCAGTTCCTAGGTTCATGGGCATTGGCGATGAGCGCTTAGGCGACTTCCGATAAGGTGACACTTACACTCACAGCTACCTAGGCCTAGGCGATTGCAGGCGCAGGTAGTTGAAGGCGTAGGCGCAAGGCGTAGGCGCAGGTGCAGGCGCAGGTTTAGGCGCAGGTGTAGGCGCATTCGTAGGCGTAGGCGCATTCGTAGGCGTAGGCGTAGGCGTACTCGCAGCCATGCCGCCTGTGGCGTTTCCTGGCCTGCCCTCCATGCCGGAGATCCCGGATGGAAGCTTCATAATAGCATGGGGGGCGGAGCACGATTACAAGGCGACCGGTGCCTTGAGTCTGATTAAGAAATAGTCTTATTTATGAAATCTGTTCACTTATGTGATATAATAATAAGTCATACCAACTTTAAGTCAGTACTATGAATTTTCGATAGTTCTAGTAATAGCAATACCAATGTGGAGACTTATGCGGATGATAAGCATCATACCGTACTTCTCCAAGCAATAGCTACATTCTTATACTATTTGGGTTTTGATATTTGGGCCTCAATGCGGAGGCGCTGGCGGAAAAGGGAGGTCGATGATGACTGGGTATCTGAAGCGCACCTACCCGGATCACGTCCACATGACGCTTGACGTGAGGCAAATGATGAAAGACCCTGCCAAGGAGCAGGAGAAGGGGCAGGCGAAGGCGTCGGCGTCGGCGGGGACGCGCGGGCGATCCAAGTCGCCCGGGCCGTCCCGGGCGGTGAAGGGAGACTTGGATTTTCAGGTATACGTTGTTTCTTGTATTTGGGAGTAGGGACACCGCTTGAGTTCAGTTGAGGGTTCGTGGTTAAAGTTTAATAATTTGCTACGGATGCCCACCCAGGCGAGTGGAATCCTCAGAAGAACGAGGATTTCCTCTTGGCGATGATGGACGAGCCTGGCTTTATGCGGGCGTTCATTACGGCGGTGGCGATGCTTCTTGGTTACCTCAAGGGGTTGGCGGCGTTCGATGGCGATCTCTGGAAGGCGCCGGTGCTGGTGCAGCTGATCTGCACCCTGATTGTATACAGCCTAGTTTTTTCTTAGTTTTTTCTGTAATTTTCATTGGAGCTCTAAACCTCAAGTCATTTAAGCCTTTCATCAGGTGCGGCGGGGAAGCACAGGTCGGCGAGCGTGGCGGTGGCGCTGGCGATCCTTTTCAACCTTCAGTTTGAACTGCCCTCCCACAGTGAGACGGGGGTGTATGGCGTTGGCGATATCCCTCTGACACAGAGGGGCAAGGACAAAATCATTGCGGCGGTGAACGAGGTGGGGAGGAAGCTCGGCATTAAGGCGGACTCCCCACCCAAGGCGCCGGCGACGACGAAGGCACCACCAGCAGCGGCGGCTCCGCCGGCGAAGGCGATGCCAACGACGAAGGGTGACTCCAAGGGCTCCCAGGCGGCGGCGCCGGCGGCTGCTACGGATCTGGCTCGGTGTTGTTGTAAAAAGTTGCTGTTGTGGGTTTAGTACTTAGGCATAGGTTCGGTTATATATGTGGGGTAACACATGTTTGCACTTTGGGTGTCAAGCAATTCTTAACCAATCACCTTTCCAAGGCTAAGGGGTCTAAGGCCTATAAGTAGTTAAGCTGGAATCCTGGAAGGTGCGCCAAAGTGTCCTGAGCCATTCGCCGGCGCTTTACAGTGTCCTGGAAGAGCTGGAGGTTGATCAGCGGACATGGTCGGTTCCCAGGCTTATGTTATCCGTCCTGATCCCAATAGACTTAGATTTATTTTAATAATTATTAATGGCTTCTAAGTTCTAAAACCCTGGATTCTCCTGAGTAACCCTGAATCACAAGACTAGCTTTGAAAGCCTGTTAGAGGAAACGCCAACTTCTAATGTTAAAACTGGTTTATGGATTGGACCTGGGCACCATGAACTTGCCCCCAAACTAAGGTGGCGTCGGCGATGGTGCTCATGGCGGGCGGCGTGGCGAAGGCGAGCGAGATTGTCGGCTTTGTCGACAGCAGCTTGGCTGGTATCTGGGCTAGAGCAATCCAAACCCCTACACCCCCAGACCTTGAAGCCAATTGGCCCTAAGAATGATGAAGCTTTTAAGAAAAGATAGCAGGAATCCAAAACAAGCTCTTGTTTCAACCCCCCCCCCCGGAACCCCTAGTACCCTCGAACCCAAAGCTATTTGGAATTGTTTCGATGCACTAAGAAGCTCGCAAGCTTGACACTGGGCTGCCCGACTGGGGCAACCGCAGCGCGAATTTGACGCGGGCGATGTCGGAACGCATCGATATTTTGAAGAAGCAGTCCAACCAGGCGCCGGCGTCTGAGAGCGGGAGCAGCTTGACTTAAAGCCCAGAGTTGTTGGGGTGTCTATGTTGTTTCGTTGGGATTTGGGATTTATGTCTTTCAGGACCAATAACATGATCCCACTGAGGCAGTCGGCGCGGGCGCACGCCTGCGCGTGGCAAAGGCGACGGCGGCAAAGGCGACTACAAAGGCAAAGGCGACTACAAAGGCGACTACAAGGGCGACTACAAAGGCGACGGCGGCAAAGGCGACTACAAAGGCAAAGGCGACTACAAAGGCGACGGCGGCCACTACAAAGGCGACGGCGGCGGCGGCTGGTACTACGATCCTGGCTTTGGCTACGGGAAAGGCTGGGAGTGGGAGGAGGAGTATGGGTACGACAAAGGCTATGGCAAGGGTTTCGACAAGGGGTACGAGAAGGGGCGTGGGCGTGGGCGATATGATGACTACGATGCCGGCCGTCGCACATTGGACTAACTCATGGGGTTAATCGACTATTATGATGTAACTTGAATGATAAATACAATATTCAAATCTAAGCTATATATGATATATACATATATATATATATATATATATATATATATATATATATATATTATGTATTATGCATAGATTAAAATTATTCAGGTACACAGCATTTTGTAACTCATATTTATTTTGTGATGAGTTCCTGGGGGTTTTGATGTATGGCCGAAACATATCTGAGGATGGAAGGGATTTTGAGGAGTACGGCGCCGGCGGCAGGAAGCGTTGGCGCAGCCCAGAGTGGTGAAAAGAGGGCTTGCAGTGTTTGGGTTTGGGTGTTCAGGGGTTCTAGGAGTTATGTTATATTACACAATGCAAACATTATAGTGGGAACGACAATGGTTTATGATAGAATACAACAAGCCTTCACGTTTGGGATTGACAACTTTATGATTTGGCCTCGGGTGTGCTCTGATAAACAAAACAATATACCAATAGAATGGAAACAAGACTTTGCGATTTGTGGTGTACAGTTTCAGAGACAACCAGTAGCAGCATCAACAAGAAAATCTCATACTAGTCACACTCCTTCAGGTAACACATCAATAAAGAAAACGAGGTTTGGGCTTGTGGTGGTGAAGGGTTGATCATTCAGGCGTTCGGGGTTTAGGATTTGGTGTGTTGAGGAGGTTAAGGGTTGCCTGGGATGGGGTTGGCAGATTGAGGCGCCTGGTTTGGGTCCAAAGTTAGAGGTTCAAAATGGGATTCAGGATTGAAGGCTTTGCCGTTATTTTATTTTGGCAATCCGACCTAGCAACAAGCCCCCTACAACCGACACCTGCCCAATTCTCCCCTAAACCCGAAACCCTAAACCCACAACATGACAGAACTACAAAATATTTCGTAATCAATAGTATACTGCACTGATGTTACATCACAAAATTCAGTCTGAGTCTAACATGCAGTTAGTGTATAAACCTAAAACAGTTTAGGGTTAGTTTGGGGTGTGTAAAACCAAGAGCACCCCTGCTTAATCCCCTATGATGCAGGTGCTGGCGCCGGCGATGACAGGCTCGTGGGCGTGGGTGGGCTTTTGGGTATTCATATAATACGTTTGAGCGGGAAGGGGAAATGGGGTGGTATTTGAAGGTGCTTCGAGGGTTGGGTTTGGGTGCTTTCAGAATTCGTGTCTGGGGTTGTCAGGTCTTTGTTAAGGTTCAGGGTGTTGGCTTCGCGCTTATATGTGGACAGTTCAGTATTAGTGTTAATAGTGTAACGTGGGCTAGCAAGTTTGGTTTTGGGCTTCAGGGCTCTTTCTGTTAACTTTGGGCGTTAGGTTATTCGGTATGGGTTGAGAATTGCGGGCGGGGACAAACTAGTGTTGGCTTGGGTGTCTTTGGAGTGTATTTCTGTGGGCTTTATAGTGCAGGCGCCGGGGAGGAGACTAATATTAGATCCAACAACCCACTCCCTAAGACCCCAACCCTCGAAGCAAGCCCCATGCAGGTGTGGCGCTGGCGATTGAGGCGGTGGCGATTTTGGCGCTGGCGATGCAGGTGCATGCGGTGTTCGTGGCGTGGGGCTTCGGGGGGTTGAGTTTAACTTACAGTAGTTCGAGGTCTAGGGTTGAAACGAATCCGTTAGCATGGTTCTTTTTTTATTCCTCAAGGGCATAGTGCAGGGTTCTGAGTGGCAGGGTTTAAATTTAAAGGAGCGTTAATGTAATTAAGTTGTTGGTTGTTTTTTTCGTTTTACCAATATATCAGTATCATTTGATGTTACAGCTGATCCTAGTGTGTCAGTATCTCGTTTACACTAGTCATTATACTGCTAGTATAGTTAACTCTAAACATTGTTGCTCAATTGTCTCAGTATGGCTGTATTCTATAATATACTATTATACAACATGGCACAAGATAACGGCGTAGAACATAAGTTAAGAATAGTAGTGTAGTAGCATAGTACAACCCAAGCACAAAGCAGAATGTGTACAGTACATGTAACAACATCCCACAATGTAGTGTAGATGCTAGTCTCAGTAGAACATAACATAGCAAATGCCTGATAGTCAGTCCTTGTACTGAAGTATACTAACTACAATACTCTGCTATAATAACCAACACACGAGTTCAGGGATATAGAGGATTCAGGGTTTAGGGTTTTGGGGTTAGGGGTTTAGTTCAAGCTTCCGGGTTAAGGATTATGAACAGTTAAGGGGTAGAGCGTTCAGAAGTCAAGGGTTTAGAGACATCGGTCGGCTTCGGGGTATACGTTTCGTGGTTCTGGGGCAAGGCGTGTTTGGGTCTTCTCGTTCAGGCCACGTGTGCTAGGGTGTTAGGTTTCGAGTCAAAGTTCAGGGGCTGAGGATTTGATTATGGTGGCCTTTCAGGTTCCAGTGTCAAGCCTTGCGTAGGGCTGCGGAAGAGGCTACATACATTTTGTTTCAGACTTAGCATAGCAGGCTACTTAGTTCCATAATCTCATATAGGTCTGAGGTTGTCACACACATTTCACAGTCTCACACCTTCACAGTCACAGTTTTTTTGAACGCAGGCGAACGCAGGCGAACGCAGGCGGTAAGGCGTACGCAGCCATAGCCATAGACATAGGCGTAGGCGTGGCCATGCCAGAAATTGATGTGCCTTTCCCGTTGCCGCCGACGGCTGGGAGCTCTGTCATCATCGCATGGGGCACGGAGCAGGCGTACTCCGTCAAGGGTGCTTTGACCCAGTCAAAGTCTTTGTCATTCATCAGGCGCTATATTGAGTTTGTTTTGAATAGCTGACATAAGAAACTCGTGCCTTTTCGAGATACCTTGGTGCCGAGGCATCGGAAAGGGCCAGGCGTCGGCGAAGGCGGGGAAGGCGGCGAAGGCGGCGAAGGCGGTGGCGGAGAAGGGGCGCTCGATCATGCCTGAATTTTTGTTGGAGAAGTATCCCTATCACTGCCACCACGTCATCGACGTCAGGAACATTTTCCGGGGGGACTACCCCCGCTGGCGCGACGACACGCCGCTGGAGCTGGGGCGGGAGACTTCGCCGGAGCCGGCGACAGGCGTGGGCGGAGACTTGGGACTGTTCAAGTTTGTTTTGTCCTTGGCCTTTTATAAGCAGAAATAGGTTATTATTGACATTGAAGACGCCCATGCCCACCCAGGCATCAAGCACCCGGCCGACAACCAGGACTTTTTGCTGGCGATGATGGCGGAACCCGGCTTTGAGAAGACACTGGTGGCGGTGGTGGGGGCGGTTTACTCCCATTTTGAGGCGCAGGGGATTAGCGAAGGCTGCACGTACTTGTGCTTGCAGCTGGTAAGCAGCTTGACTCAATCAATCAGTGCGCTCGTCATTTTTCGGTGGAAATTTGAAGCCTAATAAGTAGCATCCCTATCTCAGGTGCAAAGGGCCTCTACAGAGCGGCGGCGGTGGCGGTGGTGACGGCGCTGGTGTTCGACTTGCCGTTCGAGTTGCCGAGCCATGACGGACTTTATCCGAGGACGGCATCGACGGTGATGTTGCGTGGCATGACATTGCCGCGCGAGGTCGAACTCGACGACACGGGGAGGGCGGAAATCTCGGCGATGGTGGAACGCGTGGGCGCAGTTTTGGGCTACGTGAAAAAGGCGCCGCCGCCGCCAGAGCCGTAGCCGAAGTTGACGGTGGAGGAGCAGGCTC